GTTACGATCTCCCCCCCCCCCCCCTCTGTATCGTAACTCCTCATCAGAATCAATCTGCTTCCCGATCTCGAAATCTCTCGTTCTTCCTCAAACACAAAAAGGTATTTGATTATTTGATTATTCGATTATTCATGTTCTGTCTTATTACAAATCGATCCGTTCTATTACATAATAAATAAATATGTTTTATTTTCTTAGGGAAGGAGGAATTAACAAGTTTTGATTAGAAAGTATCTTTCTTTATGGTATCGGAAACTATATTACGTATGATATCACCGTGTTGGAGAAAACCTTCTGTGAAGGGAGAACATTCTAGTAAAGGAGACGCTAACGGAAAGTGTGATGGTCTTCTTTGGTATAAAGATTCTGGCAACCATGTCGCTGGAGATTTTTCAATGTCTGTGATCCAAGCTAACAATCTTCTTGAAGATCATAGCAAACTCGAGTCAGGACCCGTTAGTATGTTTGATTCGGGTCCTCAAGCTACTTTCGTCGGTGTTTATGATGGTCATGGAGGTCCTGAAGCAGCTCGGTTTGTTAATAAACATCTTTTCGATAACATCAGAAGTAAGTAATGCAGGTTTTGTTCTTTCTATCTTTTTGCTTTTGTGTGCTGACTTTTTGGAGATTGGCTTTGATGTAGAGTTTACCTCGGAGAATCATGGAATGTCTCCTTCTGTTATAACGAAAGCGTTTTTAGCTACGGAGGAGGAGTTTCTTTCTCTTGTGCGGCGGCAGTGGCAGACGAAGCCACAGATTGCTTCTGTTGGAGCTTGTTGTCTTGTAGGGATCATATGTAGTGGATCTTTGTACATTGCTAACGCGGGGGATTCTCGGGTTGTGTTAGGGAGATTGGAGAGAGCGTTTAAAGCTGTCAAGGCTGTTCAGTTGTCTTCAGAGCATAATGCAAGTCTTGAATCTGTGAGAGAGGAGTTGCGGTTGTTGCATCCAGATGATCCTCAGATTGTGGTCTTGAAGCATAAAGTGTGGCGTGTCAAAGGTATTATACAGGTAAACAAAATAATGCAGATTGTCGATTCTATGCTTCTTAGTTTTATGCATTGTTCAAAAAAATCGCTAAGATTTTTAGAAAATTGATTCTATGGTTTTCAAATTAGAGTATAAGAAGAGATTTGCAATGTCTTTATCACTATAGGAAGTGTTGAATAGAAGATTTATTTACCAAATTCTAAGTCTTTTGAAATATTTTCTCTGTCTCTTGAAAGGTATCACGATCAATTGGTGATGCCTACTTAAAGAAAGCAGAGTTCAACAGGGAGCCGTTATTAGCAAAGTTCAGGGTGCCTGAGGTTTTTCATACACCAATCCTTAGAGCAGAGCCTGCGATTACAGTACACAAAATCCATCCAGAGGATCAGTTTCTTATATTTGCATCAGACGGCTTGTGGGAACACTTAAGCAATCAAGAAGCTGTTGACATCGTGAACACTAACCCTCGTAATGTAAAGACTCTTCTCACTCTTTTTACCTCTGTCTTTTTGTTTGCATTTAGATTGAAACATGAGAATGGGTGTAGGGAATTGCGAGGAAGCTTATAAAAACAGCTCTAAGAGAAGCAGCCAAGAAGAGAGAGATGAGATATTCAGACTTGAAAAAGATTGATAGAGGAGTGAGGAGACATTTTCATGATGATATAACAGTCATTGTCGTGTTTCTTGATTCACATCTCGTCAGTAAAAGTGTCTCACGACGACCTCTCATCTCCATCTCAGGCGGTGGTGAATTGGCTGGTGGACCTTCTACCACTTGACACACTCTCACCACAATTTATATAAATATTTCTATTAATATACGTACCACTATATATAAACACATTGCAGAGAAACCCTTCGAGCTCCTTTTTTTCTATAAAAATGTAACAAAAAAAAATCATTTTAACTCTGTTTTTTATTCATTCCAAGCTAATGGATAGTTGAAACACCAATGTATAGGTCTCTTGGCAAACTGAGTTTTATTATGATAAAGAGATATCATTTGTTGGAAAGATTTGATTAACTTATTGCATCGTCGACCACTTTTTTTGCTACTGTTGCCTTTCATAAGGTATCAACATAAACACATTGTAAATCGGTGTGATGAATGGGATGAAGCGTCATCATTAAGTAACAGCTAGTGTTTATGCGGTGGCTCCACTTACTAGTACCCTTTGATAAAGACTTATTAAAATAAAGCATATTATGATCCCGGTTTGACTGAACCGGTGGTCGTCTTATACGTTGTATCCAATTTGTTTTTTTTCTCCTTTTTAGTCAAAACTTTATAAAGGTTTGACCAAAAAACAAAAAAAAAACTTTATAAAGGTATATAACTTTTTCAAAACTCTTAATAAATGTTACAGGATAGAAAAAGTGAGAAGGAAATGTAAAAAACAAAATGGAAAGGAATGAAACCAACTTGAGAGTTCTATGCACATTTAAAACTTCGATCTTCATCTCCTTTGCACATCATCTCCTTATGCCATTTACAGAATCCTTCAACCAATGCATCCTTCATCCAAGCGTGCCTGCAATTCCCTACAGCTTCTCCAATAGTCAACCATGTCCGTGTTCTGGTCTTCTGTTCCGGCCATGTTTCTAGTTCTTCCTTAACATACAAGGCGTACATTGCAGCTTTACATAAACCTTCAGGGCTAAATTCATCTTGGTGTGTCTTGCTTTTGAACTCGTAATCTCCCAAGAAATCCTACAAAAGTCAACATTTTAACATATTCAGCACCAGGGTGTCAACATTACGACAAATACGTATATTCGGTGTGTGAGTGAAAGGGCCGGTCTTACCATTAAAATGCCACGGACTCCTGCTTCTTCCACTGCTTCCCTTACAGCAGCTTCCTTAACAGTCTCATCATTCTCCCATCCTCCCTAAAAGAATCCATTAATCAAAACGAAATTGAATAAAATAGCAAGAAGAAATTGTATTTGGTTGTACCTTGGGAAACAAAAGTCCAGGTCCACTAGATGAGCTGATCATCAACACTTGAACAACTTTCCCAGATTCAGAATTACCATCTTCTATATACCTAAACGGAACACACCTACAAAAAACGCGTGACATCGAACTTGTTTAAGAAAGATTCCACCATCTCCGAAAACTAAAGTTTTTTTTTTTTTTTGAGAAAGAAACTAAAGTTAAAGACAGCTAAAAGGTCATGTCCTAAACTCAAAATCGAAACAAGGATCAAGCAATGCCGACACACTAGAGAAAAATCATTTGCATGAATTAGAAACAAAGACAACTCAATATCACGACGCACTATAATCACGATCTACAAAACAAAAACACGAACTCCAAAGAGACAATTTATACGCATGTGTAAGAACATAGTACCCGGCAATGAGACGCGAGCCATCTTTGTAACGTTGCTGGAGCCGACCCGTGCGCGCAACCAAATCACACATTACCACAACCGAAATAACAAAAAAAAAAATATAATAGCTAGAGGAAATTCGAATGGTTGGCCATCAAGATGAGGAGAAAAAAAAAACACACAAGACAATAATCTTTCACGACTCTTTTGGATACCCACAAATGCGATACTTCTAGCTCCACCATTGCTGTCTCCAACGGTTGAGAAGAGATCTCCCCATTGATCTGATCTGACGGCTGGGGGTGTTTAGATCTAGGGTTTGGGAAATAACACAAATAGTCGTAAATAATTTCGGGCCAGTGTGGGGGAAGAAGCAAAACCGAGAGCGGGAAGAACGGATCGGCACCGTCAGCTAATCACGTGGGTTATGTGACTACTTATTGGGCCCATGGGCCCACTTTTATCTGAGAGTGTGGATTCTGAAGCGGTTTAATCCTTTTAATTGAACCGATTAGTGAAACGTAATCTATCTATCTATCTATCTATTATTATAAAGAAGAGTTTCCCTACTTATAGGTGCGCCACGTCACTAATTAACTCATCCTAAGTGCGACACCTGTCTTTTTCTACAAAACTCAGTGTTTCAATAAACAAAAGGTTATTTGTGGGCTTATGTTAATCATACGAATTAAAGCCCACAACCTCAGAAACCCTTTTGTCTTCTTCATCTTCACGCCGCAGTTAGACTTCTTCCTCTTCGTTGTCCAAAACCTAGAATAATTTTTTCTACCAACTATGTCACCATCAATGGCGTCTCTAGAGATTGGATGACTGAAATTCGACTTCAAGCATCTATTTCTTTGTCTTACTCGCATCGTTTAGCTTTCACTTCTAACCAACCGAAACGGTCCGGATAACAGCTTAATCGCCTTTATTGCATATTTAACTCCACAGATCTACTTGAAGCACGATCTAACATTGATTGTGATTATCCTATACAAGACGGTTTATTCTATACCTATAAAAGGTTAGATTTTTTCACTTAAACATCATCCTCGGAAAAGCTCTCTTCGAGTTTTTATCATGTTTTCAATCTAAGAAAATTTAGATTCTTTATTGGTTTCTTGCTATTCTCTTCAGTTAATTTCTTTGTTTATAATCTTCATTTTTATGCTCTTTGAGTTACTTTATAATTGAATCGTTTATGATTTTGCTGGATATTTTAAGTCTTATGCCAGAAGATACAATTTTGGATGTTCTCAAACTTTAAGTGGTAAGGAATCCAACACTCAACATGGTCTTTTTGATTTCTATAGGCTCTTCGAATATGTTGTTTCACGATGTCTTAATGTAAATGTTTATTTTTCTCTGTAGATGTAAAAAACCTTCCGATTCTCATACATTGCAAAGTCAGAAATTTAACACAGGCATCAACTCCTTATTGCTTTTTGTCTCTATTTTTAGGAGAAGTTATTAAAAGACATTCTTTGGTGGTCTTTTATGTATGTGCAAGACATAAGTGTTTCGTGAGGTGTTTACGGAAATTTCAAGGCTGCTTTATATAATTGGTGCAACAATTTGCTTAGCTTCAGGTTCGTTTCTTGAAAGTAAACTGTTTTGTTCATCATCATTAAAGCCTATATTAACATTTTTCTCTTTCTAAACATGGTTGTTCGAGGTGAAGTAGGAACTGTCAGTAGCCTTGAAGAAAGCAACGGCATTGTCATCACAGAGATGCCAATCAATGTATAGTAGATTTATTTCATGATAAAGCAATAAACTTTCTTCTGTTTTTAATTTTGATGATTGACTTAAAATGAGCATTTTCAGGTTTTTGAGATATTATAACAACGCAGAGTTTTTACAATCTGAAGGATCCCATCAAAGTTTGTTTGTTGGCTCTTATGTTATTATATGTTACAATTATATGTTACATGACCTTCTCTGTACAAATTAATAGTTTGTGTTAAGCTACATTTGATAAAAAGAAAGTGTTCAGCTACATAAGATGTCTCTATGCTGCAGTTAGCCATTAAATTGATCACTTTGGTCTACAAGTCTGTGTTTTAAAGTGGAGACAACGGGATTTGAATTTCATAGAGGCATTTGATATCGTGCTCTCACTGCTAATCATCCAAGAAATTTTAATTAAGAACAAATTTAGTTAGAACTTTCTGGCTCTCCCTAAAAACGTCCACCTCTCTCTCTCAATACTAAACTAAGTTTAAATAATGTACTAACAGTTTTTATTATTTCACTTCTTAATTATCTAATTGAAGTTTATCCTTTTTTCTCACCAAGTTCAAATTTAGATAAAGCCCCAGTAACAGCAGGTGAAACGACTGTTCTTATGCTTAAAGATTGGAAGCAGTGTTAACTTCCGAACAAACGGCTCTGAATGAACCATTTAAAGCAGTCAAGAAGGAACATTCTCCTTCAGAATCAGTTTCTTGGGTGTCACTACTCACACCTGAAGCTACACCATAGGCAAAATCAAATAAGGTTTAGAAGCACTTGAATTGTTTAGTCAAAACTTTTAAAAGCATTTCAGTCCTAACCTTGCTAGGTTAGAAAATGAGCCTCAGTTATGATCATTCACTTGAACCACCAGAAGAAATAGAACGAGATAATAGCTCAAATGAACATAATGAGAAAGTTGAGAAGATTCCAAGATATAAAGGGACGTTTGTTATTTTCATTGGTAAAAGCATGGTGATTAATTACCTTAACGTCTATATCTATATGGTTAGTTTAGTAGCATGTTTATTGTCTCTNTGAGCCTCAGTTATGATCATTCACTTGAACCACCAGAAGAAATAGAACGAGATAATAGCTCAAATGAACATAATGAGAAAGTTGAGAAGATTCCAAGATATAAAGGGACGTTTGTTATTTTCATTGGTAAAAGCATGGTGATTAATTACCTTAACGTCTATATCTATATGGTTAGTTTAGTAGCATGTTTATTGTCTCTGTGACGTTGAGCATGTGATTGTCTGTATATTGTTTGCTTACCATTGAAGAAGGTATCTGAACGAATACAAGATACAACACCAAAAACACTAAGCTCCCCAGTTATTATATCAAATACATTTTAAAAAACTTCAAACTTCACTACATTGAGACATAACATTTATTTTAGAATCTAAATAACAAGTAGGGGTATATCGTGTCTTTAGAATCTAGGTAGTAGGTACCGTGTAACTTATATCCCGCCCGTAGGGCCGGTTTATCCTAGTAATAAAGAAACCCTGACAAACATCGAGATCCTACTGAGGTTTCAATTCTACTGTTCTTGTTAGTTTGACTTTGTGTGTTTCTCGCGATAGAAAAGTTTCTCTGGGCGCCATCTGTTGTGATGGTCCCTTTTTTGCCTCGTCTCTGTCGACGAGAGAACCGTCAAGTCCTCTTGTCTAGGGGTGGGCACGGATCGGATATCCGGGTTTTTTAAGGTATTTGTGATTTGTTTCGAATGTTACGGATATCTAATTCTGGTATTTGCTTTGCTTCGAAAAAAAGGATATCCGGAAAAACATATATCCGGAAAATAAATAGATATTTGCGGATATTTACGAATATTTACGGATATCTTATCCATTTTGACTAATACAAATAATCTTAAGATTTTGATACAAATTTGATTTGCAAAAATATTTTTTTGCATGATATATAAAATATAAATTAAAAGAACTAGTGAATTTACATATTTTGTAATTTTTTAAAGTTTAAATTACAATTATAGTAACACAAAATTTAAGAAAAAAAATATAATTTTCATAATTTTTCCCTCTTTTTATGTAATATTTTTATATAAGTAATAATGTGAATAGAATTGTTCAAAATCATGTATTAGAATAATAATTATATAATTTTATACATTTAAAATTTTAAATATAATCAAGATATACATATATTTATATATTTCCGGATTGGATCGGATATTCGCTTCCCAAAATTTTAATATTTGTGATTTGCTTCGATTTTAACGGATATTGAATTTTAGTATTTGCTTTGATTCGAAAATTTACGGATATCCGGAATTTTCGGATCGAATCGAAACGAATAACGAATGGAATCAAATATAACGGATAAAATGCCCAGTCCTACTTGTCGACAAGACCGGCTAACTAAGGAGGACAAACGGTGCAATCACCCCGGGTTCAAACCTGTATCCCCGTATATTAATTCCAATATTTTCATAAATACATATTTTTATATAGAAAAAGTTAAAATTTTAATAAATAAAACTGAAAAAATGCCTAATAATTTTCTATATGTATATAGTTTTATTTTCATCACAAAAGGTAGAAAATATTATTATTGAAATTTTAAACAAAAAAAATACTTATAAAATATTGAATAAATATAAATTTTAAAAGGTAAAAAAATTTTTTTTTGTCTTAGGGTCCATGATAAAGTTAAGCAGGCCCTGCTTGCTTGTCAAATTGTGTCATGGTGTTTTTAAGATGCTTCGAGTCTCAACTTCTTCTTAAATGTGATCCCATAGCGGAGTAGTTATCGCGTTAGACTTCGAATCTAATCTTGTGGTGTGAACTGACCTCACATCTCTTTAATTGAGTCCGCCCCTGGATGATCATATTTCTTCAGTCACATCTAGTAGACCACGAAAAGTAAAAACAAAGTATATTCGATTCAACACCTTGCCATGTTAACCTTTTTTTTTTTGGTCGCAACAACACTTAAAACATATATACAAATGTTCAAAAAGACCACGAGACAGCTGTTGGATTGGACGTTTTATAAAGAAAAAATTACTCTATAAGACACATTCTCACTTTACAATTACACTTTAAAACACTTTTCACATATCACACACTTTCTCTATACAATTTGTCTTTTCTACCCTCAACTAAATCACAAATATACATTTCTAACTTTTATTAACTAATCTCAACGAAATATCTCCACACAATCAGACAAAAATAAAAACAATAAAAATACAAATATGTCTCTTTATTCTCTCTCTCTTCTATCTTTATTTTCGATTCCAGATCTACTTTTCAAAGATTCTTCACTTTCCTTTACTCAAACCGTAATTGTTAGCCTCCTTTTCTTTATCTTCATTGATTTTTAGAAAACCATGAATCCAAAGGACATGCAACTTGTTTGATTTTACTATTATCAGGTGGAGAGGAAGACGACAAGCAAGTCTGAGTACGTGGTGTAGAAGATGATGACGGCAGGTTGTGGTGTTTATCTCTCGTCGTTTTTTTATTGGAGGAGAGTTATGGTTTGTCTCAGACTTTTGTTAATGTATTTCAGTTCCTGATTTGTTCGTTATTTCAGTCCCTATATATGTTTGGGTTTGTTCCTTGTGTTCAGTTCCCGCTTGTGTACAAAAACAATTGTGGATGGGTGAAGCGTGGAGGGGGTTGTGGATGGGTGAGGAGTGGAGGGAGTTGTGGATGGGTGAAGCCTGGAGGGGGGGGGGAGTATGGCTGGGAGTTGTTCGTTCGTTTGATTGTATGGTACATTATGCCTGGATTGATTTTATGTTTATTCGTTTTCTGGACGGATTTTAAGTTCAGTGGTACAGAATAAGGTTCTTGTGGATGGATTATGATGGTTTATTTTGTGAATGGATTTTAAGTTTCAATTTCATATTAAATGGTGACCTTGTATATTCATAGGTTTAAAAAATTAGTGTTTTCTAGGAAATAAATACCAATCTGTACGGTTTCTTTTTTTCTTAAACTCACCCAAAGGGCATCAATGACATTACACACAGAAGCTGCCAAAAAAAAGTGTCCCAACTTATGTATGTGTCACTAGATGAAAGACAAAGTCATATTGTGTCCCAATATGTAAACGACTTGTTTAGATGAACGTTTATACCAAAATTTTAGAAAAATCATTTCGCCAGATTCAGATGGAAGCTATATTGACTACTTTATAATACACTCATATATACATTAGAAATCAACACCTTTTGGCTCACATTAGCCAAAATATTAATTAATGTACAGAAAATAGCGCCATAAAACTGGCGCATCCAACACAAGAAACATGATCGAATATTCACACTCAATTATGCAAACCTTAAAAAAGCACAAAAGCACGTTCATTTCAGACACATTAGCACATGATTCTACACCATCTAAACATATAAACTAACAATCACCGAGGATTCATGTTATACTTATATCACTCAGATTACTGAAGCCTCGTGACGACATTATTACCAAAGCTAATGAACTTTCTCAACCACGTGGTGGAGAAAGAGAGAGAGACTACTTTTGTTTTGTTGTAATAGAAGACCACACACCAATCACAAAAACACTATTTTATTGTTTTTATCCGATCCCTAAAATTAAGATTCCTCTGACAAAAACCTATCTTTCTTTTAAGAAATGGTCGGAGAGTGAGAGGTCACCCTCAAGAGCCGGTTAACCAGAAAACGGAGAGGGAGAGGGGTTTACTACAAAATTGCGAGTGTAAAACCAACCAATAGCCAGTTAACCGGTTTTCCTCAACTGCCTGATCCCAAAACCCATTCTCATTTGTGTGGTTAATAAAAAAAACCCTTTATTATTTATTTATTATTGAGAATATTAAAAAATGTTTTTTTTTTTTCTGTTTTCGTCTTCTTCCTTCTTTGTGTTATAGCCTTATAGGGACAATTAAATCCTTCCATTTCTTAAATCTCAGAATTTCCAACAGCTCTCTGTATAGATCGATTCTAATTTCTCCTTTTTGTATTTCATATATACATAGAAAAATAATCAAATATTCAAATCTGTAATTGAAGTGGTTTCTGATCGTGATCAAGGAGCTGATTAGGTAAGTTTCGATCTGTAAACTATTAGGGTTTTTGAGTTGATTTTTTTTTATCATTGCCTCTGATTTTGATTGCAAGTTCCGATTTTTTTTTATGGGTCGACAGAAATTGTCTCAATTTGATCAGGTCACTGTTTGTTTTTTTTTTCTTGGAAATGTTAAGCAAAATTCTTATGATTTTGCATTCCCATGATCAAGGGCTCGGATTCTTTTCTGCTGATCTGGTTTGTAAAATTTGGTTTACTGATGGTTCTTATGTGTAACATCCTGATTCTGTCTCTGATCTGCTTACTTTGTATCCAATTTGATGTTTTGAAATAATTACATCTATGATACATAAAGTAACTTTGGTCTCTCATTATACTTAATTCCATATCAGCTCGAGAGAGATGGTCTTCTCAAGGTTTTAATGTTTGTGCTCATTCTAATTTTTTTTTTTTGTTGTGTGTGTGTTGCTAGTGTGTGAGAGATGGTGTTCAAGAGGAAGCTAGATTGCGTATCCGTTGCCTTTGATTACCCCAACATTCCCAGGGCTCCTCGTTCTTGCAGGGTAAAAAAAAAAAACAATCATGTCACTGGATCTGTGTTAGCTCTCTATGTCATTAATTGCTTCGGTTATTTTATCAGAGGAAAATCCTAAACAAGAAAAACGATGATGAGGAGATGTGTGCAATGGACTTGCTGGCTTCTCTAGCTGGAAAGATACTAGAGGAAGGCCAGAGTTCCTCAGCGTCTTCCAATGCATTTGAAGGGAATAATAATAATCACGAGAATCTCTGTAAAGAAGTCAAATCCGAACAAGAAAATCATTACAACAAGCCTCTTAAATCTGAGTCATCTGACCAAGGAAACTCTGTTTCAAGACCTGCATATGAAAACACTACTGACAAGTGTGTGGTAAACAGTTTCTCATTTCCTGATAACGACGCTGTTTTGGAGCAGACTCCGATGTCTGATGATCACAAGAAGGGTGATGTTCATGTGAATACTGGGTTTGAACAAGGAGAAGAAGCAACCGATGGCTTGGGAGATGGAGGCTTAACCACTAACACTTGCACCTTAGAGGATAAAACTGCATTAGCTGTGCAGTTTCCTAAACCAGTCTGCGTGGATGGTGGTGATCTGAAAACGCCATCTTTCGTGAATATGATGATCCCTAATGGTTCCCTTGCTAGACATGGGAAGCATACTAACCTAGGTAGAGATGATGATGAAAAATTATATAGTTCTCGTAAATTTAGCAATAAGTTTAAGTCGTATAGGGCTCCAACGATTCAAAGAATAAGAAAGTCCAAATACTGGAAACAAGTTCCTAAGGATTATGGACACAACAGAGCTGGTAAGTATTGCTTCACTTATGTCTAAATACATTTCTTCATTTTGTGCTATGCCCTACTCTAACTCTTTGATCATATTGTCTTAGATGTTGGCATAAAGGTTCTTCACCGGAAAAGAAAATCATGTTATGGATACAACGCATGGCTGCGTGAGACCATTTATAAGAGGAGAAGATCACCGGACAGAAGCTCGGTTCTAACTTCTGATGGTGGACTCAGTAATGGAAGTGTTTCCAAGTTACATGAGAAGCGAGATTCAGGTGGTTATTGCAACTCTCCAGTTATCTTATCTTAGCTGTTGTGAGTCTCATGTATTTTTTTTGAGTCTCTGGTGCAGTAAAGCTTAGCATCAAGTCTTTTAGGATTCCAGAGCTTTTTATTGAAGTTCCAGAGACTGCAACAGTAGGATCACTGAAGGTACATGGCAAATGTTTATCATCTTTATTCCCTTAAGTTATTAATATAACAGTGCCGTGACCTTTGACTCTTTTGGTTACAGAGGACCGTGATGGAGGCTGTCAGTGTTTTACTCAGCGGTGGAATACGTGTTGGGGTATTGGTACAAGGGAAAAAGGTCAGAGATGACAAGAGAACTCTGTCACAGACTGGGATCTCATGTGAAGAGAATCTAAGCAACCTTGGGTTCACCTTGGAGCCTGGTCCCAGCAAAGTTCCCATACCTTTATGTTCCGAAGATCCTTTGGTGCCACAAACCGAGATGACAAGCTTGTGTGAACGGTACTAAAGAAACTCATTATCTTGTTCTCTGGTGTTCTTTCTTCTAGAAGATACCTAAGCAACAGCGCGTCTTGATGATCTTCCCAGGTCTGCTGCGGCTTCTCCCACGTTAATTTCTCATGCAGGTGACGTGATTATGGACAACAATAACCTCGAGTTAGTTCCATACCAGAGTGAGATATCTGTTGATGAACCTTCACCAGATTCAAGAGCGCTTGTTCCACTCTCAGCTTTGGAGGAAGTTAAGGCTCTTGCCATAGTTCCGTTGAACCAGAAACCTAAGCGTACTGAGCTTGCCCAGCGCAGAACCAGGAGACCTTTCTCTGTGACAGAGGTAGAAGCTCTCGTGCAAGCAGTTGAGGAACTCGGGACTGGAAGGTATAGTTTCATGTGGTTGAGTCGTGAGTTAATGTCAAAACTCAAAAGCTAATAAACGTCTCTATATAATATCATCTCATCACACACAGATGGCGTGATGTGAAATTCCGTGCTTTTGAGAATGCAGATCATCGGACCTATGTGGACTTGAAGGTAAAAAAACATTAAACACAAACTTGTAAAATATCACCGTCTCATAGTGTCTTAATGTTGTGATTTTTTTACAGGATAAATGGAAGACGTTGGTTCACACAGCAAGTATATCACCGCAACAGAGAAGAGGAGAGCCGGTGCCACAAGAACTGCTAGACAGAGTGTTGAGGGCATATGGGTATTGGTCGCAGCACCAAGGGAAACATCAAGCGAGAGGAGGTGCACCTAAAGATCCAGACATGAACAGAGGTAGAGCTCTTGAATCAGGTGTTTCAGTGTAAAAAGGAGGCAAGTATTGGTGGGTGGGTGTACAGATGAAAACAAGAATAATTGTAAACTCCGTTTCTTTGTTTTTTTTTTTTCTGCTTTGGCATTTTGTAAATGACTCAACAAAGTTTATCTTTTCTGAACTTGTTCTATTTCAAACTGATTATCTTGTGTAGTATGGTCAGTCCAGAATGTAATTCTAGACATTCTTTAGTTATTGTTTATCCTTTCGGTTACTAGTGATACATACAAAGGCAACATTTTGCACAGTTCTTCACAAAACAATGACCTTCTGTTAAGGCTTAGAAGCTTTTAAAAAATGCCTTACTTATTTTTCTACAGTAAGTTCAACGATTCGACATCCAAGTTCTTTATATTCTACACCTACTTCCCTACTCTAAGACCCTCTTAGTGCATCAAAGACAGACAATTATTGAACATGGGATCTTTGGCAAGAACGCCTCACAGTTCTTGACATCCTTCATACACACAAGTTATTTTCCAATCTCCATCTTCTGCAACATCAAAAGACCAACCTCAGATTAGCAAATTATCGAAAGAAGCACAAGTTATATGAAGCTGGCATTTTGGTAGTTAGTATGTGAACCTGGGTAACTGCGGATATAATGTGTGTTAAGGCTTATGACGCTTTGCCTGATTCCATTGCTCCAGTAAACAAGTAACACCCTCCTCCAGTGTAGCCTTCCTATCTTCTCTAAAGTTCCACAGTTCTGAGGAGACGTACCTTCCACTCGGGTTATACTCGTTTATCTCCTGCAATGCATTTGCAACTGATTGGTACGCATCATCCCCCAACTCATTCTTCAGGGTTCTTAACTTCTCGTCATCCTCATCTATTACTTCCTGACAAAGATATTATCAAGCACCAATTCATAAACCAAGTCCAACATCCATATGTGCATCGCAGTTGTAGTACACATGCACATGAATAACACTTAAGAAGCATATTATTTAGGTACCACTATAGTTTCTGCAGCATCAAGCTTTATCCGTTTGAAAGGATGCCAATCTGGATCCTTAAGATACTCCTCCCAGAGCTGGATAACTTCTACTGCCCAATCCTCTAGATCTTCTAGACAATACTTTCTTCTCATTGCTTCCATGAAAGGTTTTGTGTCAAGCTCCCCCATTCTCCTAACACCAATATGCGATCTCATGTCTCTCAAATTCTACAATCAAATTAAGAAAAAACCATTTAGAGGAAAAAAACAAGTAGTGAAATAGATCTATGAGACCAAAACATGTTAAGAAAAGTTGTTCGTATCTACATACGGTGATCAGTGCTCTTCGAGCTTCTTGAAGCTCATCATTAGTCTCCCGCTCCCGTACGACAAGATCTTGATTAAATTTGTTTACATGTGCAAGCTCTCCTTCCTTCTCACTAAGGTCTCTTAGGTAGGTCTCCACCTTGTTCACAATTTCAGTATCACCGTTGAACTCCATGTGCCTCATCACGCTCAACTGTCTTTTCAGATGTTCCACCTCAAGTTCAAGACCTTGTTTCTGATCAAGCTCTCTTTCCAGTGAAGAAATTCTCTCACGAAGCTTTTCCTTTTGCATCTATGGTTATAAAACACGGCAGGACCCTGTCACATAAAGCTTAATAAGAGCAAAGTTTTTTTTAAGAAGGAAGTGTTTTCAGACCTTGTGATCTACAGCCATTTTTTTAACTTTCTCTCTGGTCTTTTGTTGTTCCATGGCTACTAGTTGAACGTAACTATACTTAGCGGCGCTCTGAAAATAATGGCAATGGACAAAAAAAATTCAGAAGAAAGAAGCAAACCAGATCTTAGTTTAAGCAATGAGGACGTTTAGCATATACCTGTTGAAGCTCTTTTGCTACTATTTTCCTCTGTGTTTCATTCTCTGCATCACGTTTTGCCAAAACCGATTCTCTAATTTGAAGTTCCTTCATCTGAGTTTCCAGCTGCGCCTTTTGCTTTTCATGATCAGCAAAGATTCTATTGAAATGATCAGTCGATCTTTGTTGTCTTCCCGTGAGCTCTTCAGATGCAAAAACAAAAAATGAATAAACAAAAGCAATACACATATCCACTATGAACTATAGGTAAAAGCTCACCTTGATTGTAACCATGAAGAATCTTATCTTTTTCTTCAGTCTCATACTTAAGTGTAATAGAAGTCTTTGAGAAATTTTCCTCTAGCTTCCTCAACTGATTCTGTATATTCTCAGAGATAACGTTCAGACGCTGCACAAGCTTATGATCTTTCCTAGCCTCTTCTTCTGCAAACCTAGAGATACTTTTTAGGTCACCCTTCTTCCGCAAGTACTCTCCAATATAGTTAGCCCTATAATAATCATCAGTATTGGCAAGCCATGCATAAAGGCTAGAGTCAGCACCACCACCACCACTCAGCCAATCTTTTTTTCCATGACCATCTTCTTGATAAGCCTTCTTGAAAAGCAAAGCATCGTTAAGTCCATTCCAGTCTCTGTTAAACTCAACTATTCCGGTTCCTGAATGACCGAAACAGTCCCACACGGTACGAACTCTAATCGGGTTGAATCCTCTCCGGATCAATTCATCTTTAAGCTGTGGTCCACTCTCTCCAGTACAACACAGACCATCATCTCTCATCTTTGTTGGAATATTAACCAAAATACCTACCCCAAACACAACAGATACAACTTCTATTAATATATGTCAGTGTTCTAAAAATCGGTCTAAGCGCGTAACTAAATCGGGTACTAGCGAAATGATTTTTTTCAAGATTTTTGAAAAAGCGTTCAGAAACTCGGCCTGCGTCCGCCTAAACAATAATTCTCTATAAAACGCAGCCTAGCGATTTTTAGAACATCGGTATATGCTTACATGATACTTGTAATGACATAAGAGATGGTTACCTTTCCAAGGCCACACAAGTTTTTCGAACTGATCATCATAAGCTAGAGGAACAACAGCAGTTTCAGCAATCATCAACGATGCTTTCAAGCGCTTAGAGAGTGTAGCCGTAGCGTAATCCGCAAGATCTTTTCGAAGGTACTTGGCGAGAGCACGGTGGCTAGCCTTCTCAGTGACACTTCGTTTCTTGGAACTGCTGTTACCAACTCCAGAAGCATGCTGAAGGATGTCAACATAGAGACCAACCTTCTGCTTTGGGCAGTAAGGACAGAGGAAAGTGCGGTATGAGACTTTGACCACGAGCTTTCCACTCTTGAGTTTCTTGTACAGATTGTTTTCAAAATCTGACATCTTGTTCTTTATCACCATCTTGTTGTTGCATTATCGTTTTTTCACATTCAAAAGAGCTGCTTAATGTTAAAGTAGTACATTGTTAAGTGAATGCTAAAATGATCCACACTTAAAAAAAAAAAAACTTATATAGTTGGATAAAGTTTAAACCTTTACTGATAAAAATAAATATTACAATTAAACTACACAATTTGTTTCCTTTGTCTCTCTATGTTCTATGAAGCTACATGCATGTGTTTGGTTTCTGGAGAAATCATGAAAGATTGGGATATAGAGTTCATCGAATTTGTGAAACCCTAAAAAGTGAAAGTAAAAACGTCGGCAGCAAACAATCAATCAATTAACACAGAAGAGAATATCAAATCAATGAAGATGTAAGATCTGTACCTGAGAAACAGAGATATAGCTCTCTCTCGACAGTGTTCAGAAGATTCTGGGAAAGATAATAAGAACTATGTTCTAATTAGTCATTTCAATTTTTGTGTGTTCTGTTCATTTTCGATCGAGGTTAGAAGCAGTAAACCTCTGTTTGCATTTCACGCGCTGTAGTCGCGCTTCGTCTTATATTTTCACCGTGAATGGGAAGCTGATTTTTTTTCCTTTTTTTTTTTGGCTGATGGTCATGTGAAGCTTTGATGAATAGATAAGGGAAATTAGGTGTCATGCTAAGTGAAAGTTAATCTTTTTGGTATCATTAAGAGTATTTAGAGCATGTACACCGAGGGTTCATAAGAAATTTATAAGGGGGTTCACACAGTTTTCTAGATGAACAGTGATTAACTTTTCTCTCCAAAAGTTCATCCCGATGAATCCCAGAGGGTGGAGTTCACCACGTGTCGGAAGAAGATTGGTTCAATTAATTTTTTTTATTTTTTATTTTTTAAAAA